CTATATGAGTTTAACCTCTATAGTGTTGTTTTTAAAATATCTAACCACACTCGAAATTTATATTAATGTATCTTAAGCATATTCTCATGGTATATGGACATCAATTTTAATTTTCCAACGAGTAATTTATTTAAACTTCATATACCACTTAGTTAGTGGACTAATCCCTCTCAAACCTTTATTTTATGGAGAAATAGGATTCCCTAAGGTCTTAAACCTCTTTCATATTCATATTATGTCACTGTATGATGCATCTATTAGTTCACTTATTAGGTGGTATTATGTATGGTAAACTTATTTTCATGGTATATGGACATCATTTCTGATTTTTAATAAGTAATTTACTTAAATTTCATATACCATCTAATAAGTGGAATAACCCCTATAAAATTTCTATTTTTTTAGAGAAACAGAAACATCTAAGGTCTTAAACTCTTTTATATTAACACTATGTCAATGACTGATGTAGCTATACAATCAAACAAAATTTCATATTTTCTTATTTATCATGAAATGTGTGGGCTAACCCATACGAAAATACTAATTTTTTTTTTTTTTGAATTGTATGTTAAATTTAATTCAAAAGAAAAGACCATGTTTACATCAAGTGCATCCTATGTCTAACAACTATTACAATCTTTTAAAAGGAAAAACCAAAACAAACCCATCAAATCCTTCACTAAATTTTCTCATAAATGATATCTATAATATTATTTACAATCAACTAATCACACCCTAAATTTATATATATGTATGCTAGAACGATAACATTTAAATATACTCAACTTTCTCAGCAGCGGTTATAGGTACAATAACAATATCAGAAAAAAAAAACCAAACATGAGAAGAAAAGTCGTTAAGTTTGTTGTAAGAGATTCTAGATATGTCTCCCATGTGAGTGCACATGGAGTCATGCATGCAAGAAAACTACCTTACCCTTTTGTCACTCTCAATTTCTTCAATTTATTTCCCACCTCTTAAGTCTTAGCATGCATCATCTCTATATCCACCTCTGATATCTAGACACGTGGCTCATGCTCTACATCGAAGGGCTCTCCTTGATTACCTTGCTAATAGATAAGAGGAAAAAAGGCATGAATCCAAGCCGAGATCGCTCTTATCGGTCCATTGTTGGTTGGTCCCAACCACTAGCAATGGAGATGTAACTGCTCCTCCATGTTACTCTTCTCTTTTAACTTTGTACCCATCTTTTTCTACAATTTATAGAGCTGTCCCTAAATTTATCTTAATTTGACGTAATCATATCAACTTGTTCACTTTATTTTCTCACTATCTTTATTGTTACCAAAACTAATGTTCGTTATGTAAAAAAACGTTGAAAGATGAAACTATGTTTTCATATGTAGTAGACTAGGGGTCTAATTGTTTTTGTTTGCCTTTACTTTTATATTTGTATGTCAAATTAAATTATCATGATTTTGTTCAACAGAAATAAACTATTTTAACCAATAAACGCATTGGGTTTTAAACAAGCAAGTGGTAGGGACTAGTATGAGATATGAAAGCATATATGAACCATTATTAATTATACAATGTTATGAAAAAAGCTTAAAAAAGCTACACACACACCTTCTATAAATAGCTGAGACAACTGGTAGTCACACACTCATAAATTTCTCAAAGTAAGAACTAAAGAGCTTCACTTATACTCATCTTCTCTCTCAACAGAAGACATGGCAAAACTCATATCCTACCTTCTCTTTATCACCATTCTCTTCTCTTTCATTTTTCTCACTATGTCAAAAGAAGCAGAGTACAATCCAGAAAGTGTAAGTGTTACTACTACATTCTTCTTTCTATATTTTATTAATTACAGAAGAGCTAAAATTTGTGCATTTCATTTTGTTATGAAAACAGTATGGAGCTGGAAGTCTCAAATCATACCGTAAGTGAAAACCTCATATTCATATTCTTCTTCTTTTAATTTCATATATGATTATGAAAATATGCAAGCTAAAACTCGATGTTTCACGAGTTGCAGAATGTGGAGGAGAATGCACGAGGAGATGCAGCAACACCAAGTACCATAAGCCATGCATGTTCTTCTGCCAAAAGTGTTGTGCTAAATGTCTTTGTGTTCCTCCAGGCACTTACGGCAACAAACAAGTGTGTCCTTGTTACAACAACTGGAAGACTCAACAAGGTGGACCAAAATGTCCTTGAGGAATTAAAGAACTCCCAATCTATTTAGTACCTTTTTAATAATTAATTATGGTATGTTTTCGAAATGAAGTTGATTTTAGTATTATGTATAATCAACGTCATACTTCTCATATAATTCTATGTATCTTTTACATTTGTATCTTGTAATCCCTATACAAAAAATTTATGTACCTTCAAATTAAGAAATATATATGTATTTTGTAATTTTGCTTTGTCAAGCTACTCTAAGACTATTCAGATTTCTGTGTGTTAATTTGTGCACTCTTCAGAAACTGTTAAGAATTTTTTTTTTTTTTTGGTGAAACTCCTCAAAGTGATAACAGAGGATCAATGGTAGAAGAAATGGGAGAGACTTAAGAAGAAACGAGCATAGAAATTTCATCCAAAGTTTGTAAACGATGAAGAACATTCTTACATAATCACATATTCATATGAACCTAACAAGTTTAAAATCTGAAAAAGTATGATAAGTAATGTAATGACAAAACCAGAAGAAGAAAGAACAAATTCTAACACCTTGGCCAATGGTAACACTTGACCAACATAAACACACACACACACACACACACACAAAATCACAGCTCAAAATCTAGTTTTTATAATAGATAGATGGATGCATGCCTCATGTTTACAATGTCTCTCAAGAATGATTAAAACTTCAAAATTCTGAAGTAATCAGTCACCTCTTCCGCTCTACTGGAGTTGTCTTTGCTGCAAAAGCAACCAAATGCAATCAAGAGGATTAGATGCAAGGGAGAGTGGAATAGCTATATCTCATTAATCATGTGTTGTTGTTTTTTTGGCACTAGCCAGATGACAGAAGAGGCTTCTCCTTCTTATTCCTGGTTTTGTCACCTGAGCTAGAGAGTCTCCTTGTTCTTGGAGAACTAGAGGTGATCCTGCCATTACCTGAAGATGGTAGAGAGTAACCCCTAGGAACCTGTCATTAATTATTTAGGCCTAATATAATTTGAGTTTAATACAAATATGTAACTAAAATTGAAGATTAAAAAATGTTTTCTTATATACCTAAAATCAATAAATTCAATGTTTAACAAATAGAAAAAAATATATTCATATTATTTATATAATTAAAAAACATCTTTTATTTTTAAATTTTTATAATTATTTGAGTGAGATCATATTTTTTTGGGGTCAAATTTTGTTTTTAATAGTGTTAACAAAAAAAAAAATTAAACAAAGACATATATTAAAAAAAAAAATAGTGCTAGTCCTTCATTGCCTCAGCCTCTGATCATATAGCTTCTGAACTTCGGAGACTTTTCATCGAACACCTTGTGCTCACTACCTCAAAGAGACAGAAACAGAGAGATTCAAAGTCAGCAGAAGAACAAAGACAATGAACAATTCGATAGAGACTAAGAAGAAGAAGAAGCATGTAATGGAAATCGAAGGCTACCCAATCGACGGAATATCAATCGGAGGCCACGAGACTTGCATCATGTTCCCTTCTCTTCGTCTAGCTTTCGACATCGGCCGTTGCCCACACCGAGCAATCTCTCAAGACTTCCTCTTCATCTCTCACTCCCACATGGATCACATCGTAAATACCCAAAACACCCTTTTTTTCTTTTTGGCAACGTTTTGATAATCATTAGCATATACTCTGTTTTTTTCTTTGCCTTTAGTGTTGTCACATTATACTCATAAAGGTGTAAACTTTAGGGTGGATTACCAATGTATGTTGCGACTAGAGGGTTGTACAAGATGAAGCCTCCAACGATTATAGTGCCCATTTCGATTAAAGAGTGTGTTGAGAGTTTGTTTGAGGTTCATAGGAAGTTGGATTCTTCGGAACTGAAGCATAATCTTGTTGGTTTGGACATTGGTAATAACATAATTTATTACAAGGGTTTTGTTTTAATGTTGACCCATTTCTCTGGTTGTGTAGGGGAAGAGTTTGTGATTAGGAAAGACGTTAAAGTGAAAGCCTTTAAGACATATCATGTTATCCAAAGCCAGGTTGGAGTTTTTCTCTTGTTACTGTTCTTTGACTTTGTTGAGTTGACTGTCTTTTTGGTGGGATGTTGTAGGGTTATGTCGTTTATTCGACTAAACATAAGCTCAAGGAAGAGTTTATTGGTCTTCCTGCTAATGAGATTAAGAATCTCAAGGCTTCTGGTGTTGAGGTTTGTCTTTGATTTCACTTCGGTAGTTAGTTTTTAATCTATGGAGTAGTTTGCCTAAACTATAAGATGGCAGATCACAAACAGTATAACAACTCCTGAAGTGGCGTTTACGGGAGATACGACTTCAGATTTTGTAGTTGATGAGAATAATGCTGATGCTCTCAAGGCAAGGGTTCTCGTCATGGAGGTGAATATATTTTGCTGCTGCTTATTATATGAATTAGGACAATGTGCAATGTCGCAAATGGCTTTGTAATTTAAAGGAACATGTATTTATTGTCTCTCTTTCATCTTGGTGCAGAGCACGTTTCTTGATGATTCGGTATCCGTCGAGCACGCTAGGGATTATGGACATATACATTTATCTGAGGTGAGGCTCCTTGTCTCTTTGGAAACTTTGTTAGTATCTCTGTCTCTTGATGATGCTCTTAACACTTTTTTTTTTCTTCTTTCATTGTATCCTTACTTGAAAACTGTAGATAGTTAAGCATGCTGAGAAGTTTGAAAACAAAGCAATTCTGCTGATTCATTTTTCGGCTCGGTATACAGTGAAGGTGTGTTTTCTTTATCCAATCTTGGTTTATGAAGTAGAGACGAGAGTTAGTTTGTTACGTTTTAGTAAGTGGTGTTTGTGAGTTTTCACAGGAAATTGAAGTTGCAGTTTCTGCATTGCCTCCACCTTTAGAGGGACGTGTGTTTGCTTTAACACAAGGATTCTAAAACGCAGGTTTTTCACACTTTGGTTTTTTGTTGTTCCCAAAGTTTTTGTATCGCACATGTAAACATTATATTATACCCTTGTTGTTGAGTTTCAAGATAGATATATGTTAAAGTAATTTTCTAAGTTAATGTATCCCTACAAAAAAATTTTTACTGTTGAATGTATTTAAGATACTGCATTTTATTTTTAATGACATGAAAAACTAGAATATGTGATGAGTTTAACACTTGGATTATTTGAAGAAAACCAAAACTGAAGAAATTTCTACCCCTTTGCACAAAAAAAAAAGAGAGAAATTTCTACCCCTATGTAGTCATAATTCATAACATCCGAATAATAAATCGCTAATTAATTCCAAGCAAATCTCTTGTTTTTTTCCTAACCACCTATAATTATTAGCATGTTTATGTATTAGTTGATGATCAAAATGATTAATGACTTCTTTATGTAACGAAGTGTGAACATTTGAACTTTAGGCTTTAGTCTTTAGTCTTTAGTCTTGCAGAAATGTTTACACCCTTTGTTATAAACGTGTTTCTTCTATGAACTCTTGACTAATGTGTACTATGTCATTAATAATTTGACATAGAAAACAAGAACTTGCATCGACTAAACAAAATAGTAAAACACATGTTTTAGACATTATTATAATATTAGTTGATAAATATTGTTACTGACTTGTTTATGTAACGAGTAATAGGTCTAGTACTTTTAAATAGGGAGTGTGAACATTTGAACTCTAGGCTTTGGTCTTGCAGAAGTGTTTATACCCTTTGCTATTGATGTGTATGTGTGTTTTATCTATGAACGCTTGACTAATGTATCCTTATCATTAAAAATCCAAAAAATAATATTTGCATCGAGTAAATAAAATATATACACACATGTTTTGACATTTTAGTAACGTGATTTAAACATTCTGCAACTCGTGATTTCGTAAAAATCTTTTAACTCGGCATACCGCGCCATCATCGAACTGGTTCATATAAAATTTAGTTTAGTACTATATCATACGATATACTAAAAAAACGAGAACACTAAAAACTATTTTACCTAATAAATTTTTTGGCGATCACAAGCTAAAATCTTGGTAGGAGAGATTCATTTTCTGAACAATAGTTAAATTATATGATTAGGATCATGTGTTAGAAAAATGTACGGAGCTACAAATTATAATCATTAAGAAAATAAAACAAGCAATATTATTGACAAAGTAAGAATGAATATGACATGAATCAATCCTTCAAAGTCTTTTATCATAGAAAGAAAAGTATGATCATCAGTGACAGCATCCAGCATTTCTAGACCTTGAAGTCGCGCTATACTATAATATCGCACGACTAAGACCTTGTGTAGTAGTTACAGTTTATTCAGTTTTACGTCAGCACATGCTAGTTGAATTATGGCTTGGTTTCATTATAATTGGCTTATTCGAAAGACTTCCTATTTTTTATACATTCAACATGATAAATAACAATTTGACTTTTAAAGTCAAGTCTTTTATAATCTTAGTATATCATTTAGACGACGATGGTTCTATTTGATAGAAGAATAATCCTTCTCTGGAAGAGCTGGTGAGCCATCATAATCATCGTATGGACATGGACTAAAGTGTGCTTTGGACTTGGGTTATTTCAGGGAAAGTTTGGGGAAGTTGCTGCAACTATCTTCTATACTCTCGTTCTAACGACATTGTGATGTATATTCAAGATTAAAGAAAAAAATGAAAAGAAATATGTTTTCTTTTACATTTTTAAAAGTAGTTGTATATATTTTATTTCGGTCCTGAATCACGATGATTCTTACAAAGCCGCCTTCCTAGACAAGGAGATGATTCGAATGAATTGACTCCTCGTATAATGTATACTGTAAAGACGTGAAAGGATATTAAAAATATAGTTTTGTTTTCTATAAAAAAAAATATCTATTTTTTTGTAACTTCAAAAAAATATATTTTTTGTAACTTAAAAAAAAAAGATATTTTTTTGTAACTTCAAAAAAAAATTATCGAAGATGACCACCTCGTGAAATAAAAAAATTGAAGATAACCACCAACAATACTATTTAAGAATCTCTTATTTTCAGCTAATGCGATGTACATGTTTCACTTCACACACTCTATTGATGAGAAACATCTCACATTGGATATATAAGAATTAATGTACTACTTTATAAAGGATTAAGGTCAATCCACTAATCACCAATTGGTTTTAAGTTGGAAGCCCATAATAAACATGAATCTAACATGGTATCAGAACGATAAGATCCTTTATAAATGAACGGTGGTATCCTTAATGCATGACATACAAGATCTTGACATTTAAATAAATATATATATTTTGACATATTCTATTTACAATTATACATCCTGCAATATTTTGGATAAGATCATTTTCTTAACTTTAATCCAATTTTTAACATTGATTTTTATTAAGCCTTTGGTTGGCTCAGTAAGTTAGTAATGTATTACAGTTTACTGAACGACAGACAGATCAAGTGCAGCCAAGTACAACAATTACCATCATCACATGCATGTGGTCAGTCAAATTGCCTTTCTCCTGTCCTGCCATTAAGATCCATATATATTTGTATTCTATTTTTGTGGTCAAATATATAATTTTCTTTCATTTTAAAAAGAAAACATCTGCAGATAGTATAATGGTTTGTATTTTTGTTGTCGTCCTGGCAGGTAATTAAGTTTCAGATCCAATCAATTTGAGCAAAAAATTGTAACCTTTTCGTTGTCGTCCTGACATGTAATTATCCTTTCTCTAATTTATTTTTGTAACCTTTGATAGAAAGAAGTTTGTGAAAATTCTTACATTTTTTGGGGAAAACATAGCATTCTAGAGAATTTCTCTAATTTTGGTGGGTGAAAATCGTATAGCTTCACTAATACCACCAAGTATTATGACGTTCGCACTATTTTATTCATTCATGTCTTGCCTTTAACAACATCGCCCACTCAAGAATCAATTAGCTGATAATCAACATTAAATTATGTATTTAGGTAGATGACAAACTGACTGATTTGCTTTTTGTGTCAGTCAATATTTCTACGTTTTAGTTATTCTAACTTGTTATGTAAGTTGCTTAGACTGCAAGATCCGTTTTCAAGGTATATAAGTTTATCATTCTTTATTTTTCTTCATGCAACAAAATTTGTTTTCTAATTAAAAATACCTACAAAAGCTTTGAAAAATTAATTCCCTTATTTTTTATGGAAAATAAAATCTGAATGAAAATTTAAAATAAACACCGGTAAAAAAATGAGAGAAAGTCGATTATAATTCACTAATAACAATAGATCGGAAAAATGTTTATTGTCTATTTTGAAAATAACTTGGACATAAAAAAGAATTAAAGAAAATGACTAACAAGTTTTTGAATGAGTTGACTGGGGCATACTTTCAAACTTGAATAATCTATAATTTATTTGTTAATTTTATTTATAACTTTATACTCTATATAACACTCAAATCTTTTTTTTTTCTTCAACCAAACAACTTGTTTATGAAGTATAATGCTAGACTAGTAACAACAAGAAAACTGTTCTTTGAATAAACAAAGATAGAAGCAAAAGAAAAGTAGTATTAAAAAGGAAAACTTCTGAGTAGTTACTTAACAAGAAATTCTGAGAAATTTAAGAGGGAAGGTGAAATGAATATTTAATTTAATTGGGTCCCAACTAAACCCCGTCACATCTTATATAAGACAACCATACCATAATCCATTGCTCAAATCTCTAGTCTCTTATCAACTTACAAATCAAACAAAATATTTTTAAAAGTTCACTCACCATCTCTCTTTATTTCCTTCTCCAATGGCCTCGCTCCAACTCTCCTCTCGTTTTCTCGGCACAAACACTAAGAAACACAACTCCATATCCATCTCTCGTACTTGTAACTATCCTGTCCCATTCACCAAAGTACTCTCCCGCAAGTTCATGTCGTGTTCCATGTCTATGAATGGATGTGAAGGTGATTTCAAGACGCCACTTGGTAAAATTGAGACGAGGACTATGACGTCAGTTTTGTCTCCTACAGCCGCAACTGAGAGTCTAATCTCAGCCGTGTCTGAGCTCAAGTCTCAACCTCCGACGTTTTCCTCCGGCGTCGTCCGGTTACAGGTACATGACTCACCTCTAGTTTCTAAAGAGATCATGCAACGTGTTGGTATGTGATTGGCTAATGATGATATCGGTCTCTTGTTCGTTTCTTGCCGTATCGTTGTGTCTAATCATTGAAGTTTATAGTTTTTTTTATTACAGTCGAATTATTTATATATTTTTCTTCTTCTTAAGGAAAAGTTTAATCGATAAAAAACCTATACACGAGAATTCGTGCGCGTATGTTTAGAATAGTGCTTAATTATTAATCGAATGAACTAGATCATTTAGTGTCAACGTTAATGAAAAGTGAATTTTTTTTTGTATAAAACAGTATATCATAAACTTTTTTAATAATGGACAAGTGGCCTTTTCCACTTACTTCAATCCAGTAATAATGTAAAAATATTAGGTAGAATTTGTTCTTTAATGTTTATTTTTTTTAAGACGGTAGGGTCAATGTTACAAAGAGTAGTTGCTTTTGTATTTTAATCTTAAACAAGCTTTAAAGCCATGGCTAGTGATCAACAAGAAAAAAACATATGACTATTAAATATTATTACTACTGGTTTACTCAAATATAGGTCGTCCTAGAATCTGATAGTCAACCTAACTAGACGTTTTTGGACATCCTACATAGACGTCAAAAATGAATAAATCTTTCTCATAGTCAATTTAACGTTGACCAAGTTCATCTTTGACCTAAAAAGTCAAATTAACAAACAAAAAACATTAGAGAAAATTAAAAAAAATAAAAAACCTTCGAAATATTAAAGACTTTTTTAATTAATACACTGCTGATTAACTTTGATGATTAGCATAGTGTCTAGATATTAATCAAGAAAAAAAAGAGTAATGAATAATGATTGAGCTCGTGGGGCCAAAAACAAACAAAAATAAAGAATAAACAATGTCTGGAAAAGCGAGCCAATCATCACTCACTCATTTAAGTAACAGACCCCATACATTTTTCCCCGCGCAATTTTTAAATTATCGGTTTGGTTCGGTTTAGGTACCAATTAACCAGCAAATTGGAGCAATTGATTGGCTTCAAGCACAGAACGAGACTCACTCTCGCTGCTTCTTCTCTCGTCGTAGCGACGTTGGTCGTCCTGATCTTCTTCTTGACTTAGCTAACGAGAACAGTAACGTTAACGGAGGAGACTCATCAGATCGTGATCTGGTTAGTGTAGCTGGTATTGGTTCAGCAGTGTTCTTCCGTGACCTTGACCCGTTCTCTCATGATGACTGGAGATCCATTAGAAGGTTTTTGTCGTCTACTTCACCACTGATTCGTGCTTATGGAGGCATGAGGTTTGATCCTCACGGAAAAATCTCTGTGGAATGGGAACCCTTTGGTGCTTTTTACTTTGCTGTGCCTCAGGTAACTTCAACTTCAAGGAAACATAATTTGATTTTTGTAGGAAATTCATTTTATGGTTTTAGGGAAAATTCTATTTTACTGTTTTAGCAGAAAATTTTAATTTTACAGTTAGAACGGAAAAAATAATTTTGCAGTTGTGACAACAATTTTGATTTCACATTTTTGTAAGAAAATTCGATTTTAATTTTTTTGGTGAAAAAAATAAAATTCTATAAAAAAATATTGTTTTGTAAAAATCCCGACCATTTGACAGCTCTACTTAAGTTTTGATTTTTATTAAGAGTGTATAGAGGAAGAGTTGTAATTAGCTCTTACATGAACAGGTTGAGTTTAATGAGTTTGGAGGAAGCTCAATGTTGGCTGCAACACTTGCTTGGGATGATGAACTCTCTTGGACTCTAGAGAATGCTATTGAAGCACTTCAAGAGACTATGCTTCAGGTGAAACATAGAACAAAGTCTGCTTTTAAGTTACTGAATGGACTTTATACTAAAGAGAGCTTTGATCTGTCAGGTTTCTTCTGTTGGGAGAAGGTTACGGAGGAAGTCTCTAGGAGTATCTGTTCTTAGCAAGAACCATGTTCCTACAAAAGGAGCTTATTACCCTGCTGTAGAGAAGGCTTTAGAGATGATTAAGCAGAAGAGTTCACCTCTTAACAAGGTAGTTTACTGACCATGTTCTGTTCTTAGACTATTATGTTTTCAACTTAACTAATGTTTTATGTTTTTGCCAAAACTAGGTTGTGCTTGCTCGCAACAGCAGAGTTATAACAGATACCGACATTGATCCAATCGCTTGGCTTGCACAGCTACAGAGTGAAGGTCAAGATGCGTATCAGTTCTGTCTTCAGCCACCAGGTGCACCAGCTTTCATCGGAAACACGGTAAGGGTTGTAAGTAATATCTATTTAGTTTTAACATATCTGTGATGTTGACACACTTCTCTGTAAAAACAGCCTGAGAGACTATTCCAAAGGAAACAGTTAGGTGTCTGCAGTGAAGCTTTGGCTGCAACTAGACCTCGAGGTGTTTCAAGAGCTCGTGATATGGAGATAGAGGATGATTTACTAAACAGGTCATTTTTTTTTTTACTTTTACTGTCTTGCAACAATTATAGAAAATCCCTTTCCCCTAGTTTCATTCGTTACTAACGTGATTTGCTAAAACTGCTGCAGCTTGAAGGACGATCTTGAGTTCTCTATTGTAAGAGAGAATATAAAAGAAAAGTTAAAAGTAAGTTCAAAATCTTGTTGTTCTGCAGTTTTCAATTATTGACACGTGTTCTTATTATACTCTCTTATATGCTCCATGCAGTCTATATGTGACGAGGTAGTTGTTAAGCCCCTGAAAAGTGTGAGGAAGCTTGCAAGAGTGCAGCATCTGTATTCTCAACTTGCTGGGAGTCTTAGGAAGGAAGATGATGAGGTGAGATTTAATAATATTCAAATAATTTTACATCTCATTATCATTTACATTGCTTGAAGTTACAGAGTTGATCCTTTGTCATATGTTTTGTGTACAGTTTGAGATCTTGGCTTCTCTGCATCCAACTCCAGCTGTTTGTGGGCTTCCAGCTGAAGAAGCCAGACTATTAATTAAGGAAATAGGTAAAATAAATATGTCTCTTCTTTTCTTGTTTCAACTATCTTCTACTAAAGAAAGATGCTTATTCTAACATTACAACTCTGGCAGAATCATTTGATAGAGGAATGTATGCTGGACCTATTGGGTTTTTTGGTGGACAAGAGAGTGAGTTTGCAGTTGGGATCAGATCAGCTCTAGTAGAAAAGGTGAAGCTTCCCCAAGCAAAAAAAATAAATAAAACACTTATATAAGTTTTAGCAAACATATCTAAAATTGTTTTTTTGAATTGTTATAGGGTCTTGGAGCATTGATATATGCAGGGACAGGGATAGTAGCAGGAAGCGACCCAGCCTCAGAGTGGAATGAGCTTGACCTTAAGATATCTCAGGTGTGACTTGTTTACATAATGTAACCTTTAACATGGCTCTTCTTTTGTTTCCAAAAATGCTAATTATTAGTCTATTTGTGTTATTGTTTTTTGTAGTTTACCAAGTCAATTGAATACAAGCCAAGTCTACAAAGGATTAATTGAAGAAGAGTAACAACAACAACAACAACAACAACAACATTTGTATTTCATTGTAATGTATGGGAAGGGGGGGTGGATAATTTATGTAAGATATAGGCTTTTTATGATTAATGGGCCGAGTCCGTGTCTTTCTTAGCTGTAACTAGGCACAGGCCTTTTCTGAGGCCGTGTGATTATAATTTAATTTAAAGCCAAAAAATGCTAAAGTATGATTATTATCTAAAACAAGTGAAACCCGAAGATAAAGCGGTAACGAATATGATTGGCTGAAACCATAAAGACATCATCTGACGTGGCAGTTTCTCTGTCCTCAGAGATTTCAGATAGTGTCCGAACAGAGAAACAACACACGAAGACATACATCTCCAAAGATTTTTCTTTTTACTTTTTTTCATAGATTCGATCTTCCTCCAATGGCTATCAACGCTCCAATATCGTCTCACCAGCGAACAGAGTTTCTCTCCAACCCCGTTCTCCCCCGCTTTGGCCGGTCAGACTCCGCCGTGAAGTCACCAGCTACCTTCTCCGTCGTCTCAATGGCTCCCCAAAAAAAGGTAACTCTCTTTGTTCAGATTCATTACATCTACAGAAACGTCAACACTCTCTAGTCATTCTCTAGACTTAATATTCTTACATAGTTTTATACTCTTTTTCTTTTTATATGATGTTTTGTTTTAGTGCATAATGATTAAAAAATATACATTTTCTAAAACATATATATAATTGATTTTGATATAATTTTAGAATCATTCAGCTAATTATAAAAATCATCAAAACATTGTATTATTTGAAATATTATATATCTTCTAAAACATAATATAAGTTTTTTTAAAAAATTTGTGTAATTTGTATAATTGAATCAAAGGTGAACAAGTATGATGCCAAGTGGAAAAAACAATGGTACGGAGCGGGACTATTCTTCGAAGGAAGCGAAGAAGTAAACGTCGACGTTTTCAAGAAGCTTGAGAAGCGAAAAGTTTTAAGCAACGTTGAGAAAGCTGGCTTGCTCTCAAAAGCAGAGGACTTGGGAGTCACGCTATCATCTCTTGAGAAGCTTGGTGTCTTCTCCAAAGCCGAGGAGCTAGGTCTTCTCAGTCTCCTCGAAACTTTAGCAAGTACATCTCCAGCAGTCTTGGCCTCGGCTGCATTACCGGCTCTGACGGCTGCTATTGTAGCCGTGGTGCTGATTCCTGATGACTCAACTACTCTGGTGGTTGCTCAAGCGGTTTTGGCTGGTGCTTTTGCTCTTGGAGGTGTTGTTTTGTTGGTTGGGTCTGCTGTTTTGGATGGACTTCAAGAAGCTGATTAATTCTTTCATATGTAAACTAAAGACATTGTTGTAGAACTGTTTTTGTAATAAGTTTCTATAGAAGAAGGATTCTACCTTATTAAAGCCTTATTGACACAAAATGAAAGTAGCTCTAATGAGTTCTACTAGCACACAACATCATAAGTGGGCTAGGTATCATTACTCGCTTTAAATTCGGTACTTGACTTGTACTCGTTTTGAAAATTCAAGTACTCGGTATTGTCAAGGCAAATAACAAGACAACAATTTAGACTAAATCAAGTATCAAGAATCATTATTATTTTTTGTACTTGATTCGTTCCGCCCCTGATTACTAAGTAATGCTTTTGTACATTACATGTTCTATCACATTTGAATGTTCTTTGATTTTTAAAGTCCCATGTCCATTTTTAAATGTAGAAATAAGGCTTTAAATTTTCAACTTCTTTGATCAAAAAAAAAATTCAACTTCTTGATTTAATGGACCTTATCTCATTGTTACCATCAAGAGATAGAAAGAAACAACAAACCTTTCGCATTATAACAAAGGCCCCAGTCCCCAGAACTGCAAACTAATTCCTTTATCACTTGAGATTTAAAGCAACGGATGTTCAAATGTTCTTTTTGTTTCTGGATATAAAATTAGGTGAGGAGAGTTACGTGAGAACTTCAACTAACCCATAAGTTTATTCAAAAGGTCCGAGTAATTAATTAATATCATTAATTATCACTTGGGGTTTAGCATTGGCTAATTGGCTAGTCAATGCAGACTTTGCAGAGAAAATGATATACAAATGATCTCATGATACGGCCCTACTACGGCCGTTGTCGACGAAATTAATGTTTTTTTTTTCTTGGTAAAATTAAAGATAAATGTCTGTATATAAGATTATGATGTTTGAGTGTTTGACTCTATGATTTTGCAAATTTAAAATGATATTCATGTTGTCAGAAAACAAAAGGAAAAATGATATACATATGGTCTCATGGTACGGCATTTAATTAGAATCTCGAGTACTTATCAAATCTGGATTTGAAAATGATATGATCCCAGCCATTGTCCCATGTGCATGTAATTATCCCTCTTAATTATTTCATTGTTCAAATTTTAGAACTTCTTTTTGTTTTTTAATAGACAAGACCTAAAAATTCAAAATAACCCTGAGTCTCATAAAATATGGACTTTTTAATACGTTTACATATATTTGGTTGGATAAAAATCTCACGCTTTAAGGAATTTAAGAATTTTTTTGTACGGGTGGAACCACTAGTTACTACTACTTATTTCAAAATTTAACATTTATAATGATTTTTCAAAACGATATAATCTACCAACCCATATGCATATAATTATTCATATTTCATGATTCAGTTCATTTAACTTTATTAACACTCGATAGTTTATAGTTTGCTTAGTATGTGCTATACATCTTATAGACTTTAATCAGATCTTTGATATGGTTCAAATTTAAAAACCGTGAATTATATAACTTGTTTCAACATGTTTATGAATAAAACTAGCAGTGATAACATGGCCCTGTAACTTTAAATTAATTACTTGAGATTATTAAAAGTTGTGGAATTAATCGTATCCTAGTGGTTAAGGTTTGAAGGCTTATACACCAGGTTTGGAGGTCGAATCTCAGGCTACGCAGTTTCTATACCAGGAGGATTTCAATTCACAGAAAAGGTGAATGGCAAATTATGCAGAGTAGAGAAGAAAAACTTACAAGAGATCTTCAGCATGGCGCATAGCATATCGTCAAGAATGAATTTAACATAATTTGCAATGCATAATTATTTAGTGTTAAAAAAAATAAAAATAAAAGATTATTAAAAATATGTAGTTGTTCAACTGCCCCCAACAGAAACAGATTTGGTCATTCGCTCCCAAATGACAAGAGGATTGAAGAGTTACGTTAGAACATTTGGCTATTTTTGATTTCTGACAAATCATACATTTTTATTAGTTGAAACCCTTTTAATCTAATGGTTTTATTGAATATGATTACATCACAGAGAAACAATTTGTCAAATATTATCCGAGAGGAAATACTTACAGACATCTTTAATTAGTGTGGTGCAAGTAAAACTGTCAAACGTGGATTCATCATATGATGGTTCATAATAATTTCAAAACCACCAAACATGAATCTTTATAATGTATATAGAATTGTCAAATTGTAAAGTCTACGTAATATTTTTATACTTGTACTATAATAAAAATATAAAATTAGCTTTTAAAGAGACATTTTGTTCAAGATGACAAATGATAAATTTGTCCTTCTCATTTAGATTAGTGGTCGGCGGCACTAAAATTTTATAACATGGGTTATATCATGTCTACGATTATGATGTTTGAGCGTTTTACTCAATCATTCATCAAAATAAAATGATACTCCATATGATCTCATGGTACGAATTTTAGTGTGTCGAGGCAAATGATCTCATAATGACGTTTAGAGTCTCGAGTACTTATCAAAGCTGGATTTTCATTGCTTTACAAATGATCTACCAGTAGCACCCATGTGCATTTGATTATCCCACTTAATTATCTCATTATTCAAATCTTATAATTCCTTATTGTTTTTTTCTTCAAAGTGATACGATCTACACCCATGTTCGCATGTAATTATTAGTATTCAAATTATTTTGTATTTATTCCAGTATTAAAATTCTTTAATTCCTGACATATAACATCAAAATATAATGTTTGGAATAAACGAAAAAGAACTGGATCAGGTAAGTAATGAGGCTAGTTTATTTTCGATCAAATGTGTAGCTTGTTTAAGTATGGATGCAACAAAATATAACGAACTATATTTTAAAGTTAAACCAAATGATACTTTGTTCAAAAAAAAAAAAAAACCAAATGATACTTATAAATTATAAAACATGTAATACAAATATAATCAATATAATAAATTTTTTGGGTTTTCACATATTTGAATAATAAAAACAACTTATAAATGTATTGACAAATGAATTAAATTCTACTAACTTTTTCATATCGCTGGAAAATACAAAACAAAAAATCACACCGTAACACCATGCATGCAGTTGGCCAATTTGGTGTGTGAGATAACTGAGCTGCGAAATATCATTTTTTCTAACCGATAAACTACGTGCGGTGCATATTTTAGTTGAATGGAGGACAAAACCTAGTCCATTCAAATACGGTCTAAGATATTCTTATTTTTTTCAATATGAAAAGAAAAACAGAAAAATAAAAGAAATAAAAATAAAGAAGAAAGATATTTCTTAACAAAAGTTTCGAGGAAAACAAAATAAATTAAGAGGAACGAAGTCTTCTTTTATTATGTTAAAAAGTCCTTTCATTTATTTGAGAAAATAACAGACAATCTACAGCAATGCCGGTCTCGAGGGAAAACACTACAAGCAACAGTTTTCAGCCTTTAACAAATACTTGAAAAAATCAATCTTAAATCATAAAAAAATATTGTTAAAATATATAAATATTCTTATAAAAATAATCAATTTTTAGAAAATTGTTTTTGGTCTTCCCATGTCAGATCCGATACTGCAGCAATAAAAGGCGTCAACATCACGGTCACGGCTGGAAAAAAAATTCGGTATGAGGCTGCAAATGATTCTTTGTATGTAAAAGATTCCACAACAAAAACCTGAATATATATATATATATATATATATATATATATATATATATATATATTTACTTAATTATCGTAAATCACTAGAAAACTGGTGTTAGTTTTTTTTCCCTCATCTCGAAAGAAAACCACATAAATAGTAAAAATGATTATTTAGCGATACTAATAAAAAAAACCTACTTTTAATTGTCACTTGTCAGTCTCCGAGGAAAAAAAGTCAGAGACTTAAGGAGACGACAACATTAATCATGTACGAATCAGCCATTCATTAACTGACACATGGCAGTAGGGCCATCAAAATACGTGTGTGTAAGTAGGCCATTTCTCCTCTCTACTTCGCCTATATAGAGCAGAAGACCGTTGCCTATTTGACTTATAATCATCTTCCCAAAACCCTACACCTCTCGGCTCCGGTAACCTCCGACTAATTAGCTCCTTTGTTTAACTCACTTCTATGTCTGACTTTTGTTTTTGTGAGATGTCAAAGAATATTACCATGTACAAAAGGCTAAAGAAAAAATCTGTACTCTTTACTTTTTTTTTGATCCACCAAAAGATGTAGATTAGATTTACAAGTTGGATTCGGTTTGTACATATGCATTTGCTAGATTTCTCAAACTAGATCTGTGTCATAAATGGAAACTCTTATCCCTTTTTGCCTTTTTGCTTTCTTCTTTTGTGCTTTGTACTTTCATTGTCCCCCATTGCACATCGCCTTTTTTTTCTTTATATTCATACAAAAAGGAAAACAACTTGTTGCTGCCAAGTTCCATTTTTTTCTTCTTTCTGTTTTTGTTTTAAATTGGATAGAAAGGCTATGGTGTTATTCTTTTATTTAAACTAAAAATGTTATTCTTTTATAGCTGGTGGAAGAAGACGCCAGTACTTATATGTATAAAGAAGTCATTAAAAAAATTTGCAAAAGAGTATATGAATATAAATTGTATTTTAATAACATATACCGTATCAATGACCAGATATATGCTATAATATAATTTCCTCTTTGTGATTAGATTATAAAAAGGTCAAAGGAGAAAATCTGAAGAGAGCAACGAGTGTGTCTGAGTGATTTTAGGAGATGGAGGAAGAAAGAGTTGGAAGCTCGAAGAGGCCATTTCGAGGTATCATACGAGATCTCAGAGGAAGAGCCTTGTGTTACAAGCATGACTGGCTCGCTGGTCTTCGTTCTGGTTTCGGGTACTTGCTTGGTTTCACTTTTATTTATTAAATTCTTAGTGACACAAAAGATGAACAAACTTTTTAAAAATTTTGGTTTGTTTGTAGTATTTTAGCACCGACAACATATGTTTTCTTCGCATCTGCTCTTCCGGTTATTGCCTTTGGCGAGCAACTCAGCCGTAACACAGGTCTCTACTTCTTTAAGTTTCAAGACTCTTCAAGTCAACTTTGATTATTACTCAACGGTTTGTGTTCACGTGGAACAAAAGTCTTCATGTAGCTCATATCTTTTTTTTTATTACTCACGGTTTGTGTTCACATGCAACAAAAAGTCTACA